GATGATGATGATGATGATGATGAACCACCCAACAAAAATAAGAACGAACCCGCCAAAAATAATAAAACAAAAAAATAAATCGTGTCAAAAATAAATTATAATGCATGAGATGACAGGACCATAATCTTTTTTTATGATGTAAAGTGTAAATACGTTTACCTTTTTTTATCGTAAAGATGTAAAATAAATTTCTACTTTTCTTTCGCAAGGTTATGCCAAGACCGCGTTCGCAAACGTAAGGGACACTTATAAAAGCGCGCGCGAGGTCTAAATTCTTACATTTTGTCATCCTGTATGTTTCCCACCCATACCAATGCGAACTATATAGGGTGGCATGGCTCTACTGCTTTACTTCAGCACTGCGCGCTGTCTGGACCAAGTTTAGAAAGAAAGTGCAGTAAGTACCCTTCGTCTCCTTGAAACGGGCACGACATTAAAATATTACACCACTCAACAGCATACAAAAATAAAACTTTGGGGACTGCATGGCCGGGTTACTAATTATGTATACTTTGTATGACAAGGCTTCTATAGTCTACAGATAATGCCGCTAATCTGTGCTTTGAAGGATATGCAAATAAATATCAGTCAAACATAGTAATCCTTACTGTCAAAAAGATCCTATATATATTTACTCAGTTTAACCTGCTTTAGACGCATTCGAAATACTTGTAAGACATTTCGTATAAGAGCAGTTTGTTTCGTTTTGGAGGCGAAGGGAAGATGACGGCCCGAACGCGCCTAAAAATATAGGCCCGCGCGTTCTTACAAACTTCATATATGAGTATTAAGTAAATGTTAAACATTTGTACTTAATTCGTACAAAGTGTGAAATAAAGTATTTATATTGTTATAATAATCCTTTCTCTTTTTTTCCCTTCCAAAAATTCCAGAAGATTGGGAAAATAAATAACAGTTAAAATAAATAACAGTTAAAATAAATAACAGTTAAAATAAAGAGAAGTGGAGAATGAGAACCAGTGGAATACCGCTGTCATAAATACCGCGGGCACTGTTACCATTCATTCATTGACGATTGAACGTTGAACCAAAACAATCGAATGTAACATACACAAAAGGCGATCAACTGCTGAATATTTCACCCATCTCTGATTTTTCGCCAACTAGAAAGTTCTAAGTCACGACTTTTTTATACCTGTCACTTTAAAACCTCGCTTTCTTTGTCTTTGTTTGTCAACGAGGTAGATTCGTTCTGGTAAGTCACGAAAGGGACGACCGGAATTCAAGGTGAACAGCTCTAAAACGACGGTGTCTTTGTGGGCTTTGAATGAACGAGAATTTCAAAGAGTTTGGATAAACTGTGTTTATTGGATAAGCTATTAGAACTCGGTACAGAATGCCGTACGGATTTACCGTCTAGTCTTGACCTGTCACTGTCGACCTAAATTGAATACCAGAAGAGAAAAGCGTCAAAACTTGCGCGCCTCTATCCAGACTAAACCATCATCTTTAACCTGGAAAAATACACCAACAAGGCGTCATTCGTCGTTGGTAAAAACACGTATTTAGCCTTTGTTCCGGGAACATTGACGCTATGGTTGACACCAAGTTCTTAATTGTAACGACGCTGTGCTATGTGGGAATATTTGTTGTTATCTTGGTGGTTTGTTGTTGCGCTTGGTCACGATATATGAGGAACGAAGGAAGGGTGCCTGCTCGTAGAACTAAACCAAGCCGAGGACCAAGGCGAACAGCAAGAGAACCAGTCGTTACACAGCAGTGTACTCCGCTTCCTCCGCCACCTAGACAATACCGGTACGTCGGCGATTTTACAGATCTAAACCACCAAAATCAACCGATAATTTTCGATCCACATGTGAGGCCAAATTTTCGCCATGTGGGGATTCAAAGGCCAACCTACCCCAATCATTATGCTTTAGTAGAAGACTGCCCTCCCAGGAATTATTACCCTGTGAGTTTAGCAACACCAACGGATACCTACGACATGGACTTACAGATGGATATAAACAGTGCTACGTATGCAGATACTAGTCAAGGTGGATTCTCTGGCGATGAATTTAGCGACTTTCAAAGTTCTCGATATGACAGTCGACATGATATTAGTGGTGTTGCTAGTGGCGAAGGAGCTGTTTTGAGCACTAGCGATGTCGGGGAATCATTAAAAAATGCGAATCAAAACTCCCTAGAAACTAATGGACTAGAGAGTGAAACTCGAAGGTCGACTGAAGGACTAAAGCAAGACGACAGCGGCGATGAATGTGTTTGTGGAATCCCTGAAGACGATTTAAAGTGTAGTACAAGAAGAAACAGCGACATTTTAGGTGACAGCTTACTAGTAACAAGCTGTAGTGACGATTGTAATGGCGTTGGAATAACGCCTTCGTGTTCAGTACAGAGTTTAACAGACTTCAACGAAGAACCAGAACATATTCCTTTAAATATAACGTGAGAAGAAAGCCTATATTTTAGATGAATAGAATATATATCTGTCAATTATTCTTCAAGTTTTACCATGAATACCTAATATTCAGAACATTATTTTTGCTTTATAGGTTATATTCGTTTTGTTTACTATTTTTTGTTCCATGTTGTTAATCTCATGTATTTTTGGAGCTTACAGACCAACGATTGTTCAAAATCAATAAGATTAATTTAGTTGTTTACATAAGACATTGAGTTTTAAATCCTAGTAAAGTTATCAACCACCGGCTGAAAAACAGGGGATTAATTACATAGGAAAGATCAAAGATCTACAGTTTTTTTAAATATTTCTCGTATAAATATAAAGTTTCAACTTCAGAGGTTTGTGTGTTATGATTGACACTGAGTTTTTAGCTGAGAAATGATTTTTTGTAGGTGGGTGGGGGGGGGGGGGGTGTCAAGACTAAGGCACTTACTCTAAAATGTTGCCTTCAACAGTGACATTATACTTGATATCACTCAAGCTTTCAAGAAATTGTTTTCTTTTGGACAACATTTCTACCCCTCATTTCCATACTAATTATCAAATTTAAAAAGAACACACGGCTCTTGCTTTAAACAAAAGAGAGGCCCTTTATTGCAAGGAAGTTAAGAGGTGTCTGTCATTTTTTCTGCTTGAATAAAACTTTTGAAGATTATTCATTGAGGTGGTCATGAATTATCAATGAAAAATTGCATCAAAAATACGAATGATGCGATATTTGGGCCTCTATTTTTCTCCTAACTCGAACAAAGGTTGCTCAACATTCTTTAATTTATTATGTCTAAGGTTTTATAAGATCTCGTTAATTATCCACTGAGGATGCATGTTTTCTTGGAAGTCATTATTGAGTTGCCTCAGGGTTTGAAATCAAGTAGTAACCACTAAAAGGGCCAGCAGGGCTAGACATTAAAACATACAAAAAAAATTGTGAACACCCTATGCATGCCTACTGGCTTCTGAATTTTTGTAGTTTTATTCAAAACTAATACTTGTCATCCAGTACAAAATTGTCATCCAGTACAAAATTGCAGGATTATTGCATCATGTTAAAATCATAACAACTCTTTTAGAAACTGCTTTAAAAATGTTAATCCATAATGGACTACACGGTAAGCCCTATAGCTATATCCTGGAATTAAAGACTTTATGCAAAAGAGCACAAACTCCTTATCATCAGGAAAAGGATTTTGGCTTATTAAAATATGAGCTTTTGATGCTTACTGAATAACAACACCATTAGACATGCTAAAGCTGATTTTACTTCAAAGTAAAATCAACTATATTCATCTTGCAAGACTTTTGAAATTTAAAAAAATCTTATTTCGTCTAGCATTTTTTACTGAATTTTAACAATATAAAAGAAAATCTTCCTAAAAATATGAATAATGATATATGAAAAAGACATTTGAATATACTGAAATGAATATTTTAAGCTTTTTTGTTTTTTTTTTTTTTTAATTTCATTTTATTTTTAGTGTTCTGCTTTGAAAATAAAATTTAAAACAGATAATATCACTAACCTTGATAAAGTAAATATTCATAAATACAAAACAAAAAGATTAAATAAAGGTTCAATATTTTGATTTACAAAGTCAATATTTGTATACAAATTTTCAAGGAAATAAGAGCATTTTCCATTAAATTAACTGTGAATGAGGAGTGGGAGTAATATATCTTTTTCTTTTAAAGAAAATACATTTATTTATGAATCTTATCATTTTTTCTAAATTTGTAGGTCAAAATATAATATTTTTCACTAATTTTCCACCTTTTCATAGATTATTATTTTACACTGTATTTAATATTTTATCTAGTTAATTTAATTAATCTAGTAATATCAAAAAGATATATATATAAATAACAGATTAAAAAGTAAAGGCCCTGTGATTTTGGTAATTCTTATTGCTAAAGATTAATATTGTTTAATAATCAATCTAACTGTATTTTCCAAGACAATTCATTTAATGACTTTGTATATTGTATACGACACTGCCACTCATTTTGCATTACTTAGTAATAGATAATGATAAAACAACATTATTATCATTGTCAATTCTGGGTGCTATCTTCATTTGTTTGCTTAATTTTTGCTTGTTTTTCATCTTCTTGTGGCAATGTAACTTGTTTTTCTTTGAGACTCAATTTTTGCTTACTGGGCTGTGCAACTGGCTGCATCTTCATTGCCGCCTGGCTGTTTTGCTCACTCCACAGAGCGTAATCTTCACGCGAAAGGAATCTCTTGACCTTTTTGCAGCACAGGCATGTAACAACCACATGACACTCCCGTTTGGCTGGAGGAAAATTAGTCAAATAGATCTATGTAAAGGTTAGGAGCATTTGCAGTGGAGTATTATCTTGCCTCAACTCCTCAGACATTAAGGGGGGTCCCCTAATGGATTATGTCTAGACGTCCTTATAAACAGTTGCCATTGCAAAACTTCAGTCTGGTGTTCCTACTTCTGCAAAGCCCAACTAAACTCCAATCCAATATGTGAATTGGTTTGAACTAACTTGGATCAACACAGGTTGTTTCAGGATTTAATCTGTGAGTTAGCCATGCCCTGACTTAGATCAGGCCAGAGGTTGTTTCAGGGTTCAATCTGTGAGTTAGCCATGCCCTGA